GTGGCGATGCGATCTCCGCTCCAGGGGGGAGCCGCGTCCCGGCGCGGCGGAAGTTCGAGCGCGGAAGCTTCAATCTTGGCGTGCCGTGCTCGAGGCGTGGTCTCGCCGCCTGGCGGCCCCGCCTACGGGCGACGGACCGTCGAGGCGATCCGCCCGGTCCTCTCGGACTGGGTGAATCGCGACCGAGGACGTCTCACCTTCCGAGCGACGCAGGTGCTCATGGGACACGGCTGTTTCGGTCGCTACCTGCACCTCGTCGCCCGGAGGGAGCCGACGCCGAAGTGCCACCACTGCAGTGGCTGCAACGAGGACACGGCGGAGCACACGCTCGCGTACTGCCCCGCTTTTGCGGAGCAGCGCCGCGTCCTCGTTGCAAATATAGGACCGGACTTGTCGCTTCCGACCGTCGTGGCTACGATGCTCGGCAGCGACGAGTCCTGGCAGGCGATGCTCGACTTCTGCGAGTCCACCATCTCGCAGAAGGAGACGGCGAAACGGGTGAGGGAGAGCTCTTCTTCCCTCTCGGCGCCGTGCCGCCGCCGCCGAGCCGAGGGTCGAAGGAGGGCGTTTGTCCAGCTCCGGCCCCTATGAGGAGGCAGTTTCCTCCCGGTGATGGTCACGGGGCGAGCTAAGGGGGTTGCGGCTGCGCCGCACGCTACCGTCACTAGCGCGCTGACACCAGGATGACGGGACGACGCGTCGGCGGCTGCGGACTGCTATGCGGTCCGCATTTTCGTCATCGCTGTCGTCGCCGAACATACTGTGGAAGAGCAACCCGGTCGGCGGTGTATCGCGTTCCGACCCAGCAGGCTGGTTCTGGCCCAGCGGGGTATCCCGGAACACCAGCGGCATCGCCTGGGCGGCCCGGCAGGGCCGCCGTACCGCGGAGACCGACGTCGTCGGTCGTCGACTATCGCCTCGACGATCCGTCGGTCGGGCGTCCTCGGGGTGGCGCCGCGTGTCTGGTTGTAGTGTTGACCGCGGGAACCCCCCTACCCTGACCGGGTTCTGACCTCGGACGGAGATCGGACGTCGGGTGTAAGAGTTCAGGGGAGTCGTTTAGTGGGTGGGCCCTAAAATCCTTGGGCCCGCGATCTGCTCTCAACACCTGCAGATCGTTGAGTCTCACATACCCCGCGCGCCCCCTAGGCGCGGGAACCTCGTAGGAGGTTCGGCCCCGGCCGAAAAAAAAAAAATATATAACCTTTTTATGCTGACCCAATTTGTTCTAAAATAAAGCATTATTTGTGAACTATTCCACGAGGGCGAAGTCGCGGGCCAAAGCTAGGTGTTAATAAACTTGGGTGCTTAGTGCGAGTCTTTTAACGTTCTCGATAGCGCTAAAGTTAAGTTTGTTGTATTGTATGCAGTTGGAACAGTGCCCCCCCCTTGCGGCAAGCGTAGGCAAACGTTCCAACTCCATACAAATTAGAGTTAACTTTTATGCTGTACTTAGGACAGGAGACGTGAGAATGTATAGTGCATGGAGTGGTCAATATTTCAAACTAGATACGACCTTTAGCAATGAAGAGACCGACTCAGAAGAAGAAGAAGAACATACTTGTATCCCATCCTCTTCGTTGGCTGCTTCGCCGACCGTGTGCAAAACTAATCCGCTCTCCTTTATTGCATTTAATTGCTTAGACCAGTGAAGGAGCTCGCAGTCCACTTGTTGTTAAGTTACTAAGGCTCCTAGATATCAAAAACATAAATACCACAGCTCCCCTTGAGACTTCAGATATATCGTCACAAATGTGTAGCAATTACAGCGTATAAAATTATTTTCGAAATTGATTTTTATTACACCATGTCATTAATAAAATACCAACATAAATTGGCAAACATTAGAAGTCGTCGTGGCCTAGAGGATAAGACTTCCGGTGCATTCGTATCGAGCGATGCACCGGTGTTCGAATCCCGCAGGCGGGTACCAATTTTTCAAATGAAAAATACAAAAGCTTAAGTCTTTTATCTATCGATTGAGGCACTACGAAGTTTGCCGGGTCAGCTAGTCGTGTAATAAAAATCAAACCCGCAAAATTACTGGTGGTAGGACCTCCTCTGAATCCGCACGGGTAGGTACCACCACCCCGCTTATTTCTGCCGTGAAGCAGTAATGCGTTTCGGTTTGAAGGGTGGGGCAGCCGTTGTAACTATACTGAGACCTTAGAACTTATATCTCAAGGTGGGTGCCGCATTTACGTTGTAGATACCTATGGGCTCCAGTAACCACTTCATACCAGATGGGCTGTGAGCTCGTCCACCCATCTAAGCAATAAATAAAAACACTAAAGTACTTGGGGCCTTCGGTAATACTTATTAGTTACATATTTTTCAGTTCGCGTTTATACAAATACAATTATTATGTCTTTGACGCTAATTAGCCCGCCATCTGTGTTCTTTTTCAGCGCAGTCATTAATATTCACCTTGAAGATGGAGACGAATTAACGCGCTGTTCGATTTTGATGCGTATTTTTTAACATCAAATTATTGATATTATATTTTATGATAAATTAGGCTTCCGATGCACTTTTCCGTAGGTCGTGGAGGTTAAGCGATGCGAACATCTCAGATGCTGACATCTTCTATTTATATCACCGCCTATTCGCTGGTAGCCTTAAAGGATTCTCCAGTTACGCACGAACGGGTAAGTGAGCTCACGGGGCTCAACCTGTGAAGACTTGCTAACACTGACCCTGGCGAGAGCAGTGTTACGCTGAATCTACCACCGAATCATAATCGCGACACACTGAGGAGATTCAGCTACCAAGGATTAGGTACGGAAAAAGTATTATACTGTTGACTACGCAAAGGTTTAAGGTTGATTTTCTTTTAAAAATATTCATTATGCTTAAGACACCCGGTCACACCGACGGCCGGCTGGTCTTAAGCTTTTAACAGAGTCCATCAGCATCGATAACATGAATGCCTCCACCCACATTATGAGAGGGATAAGTCTTTTAATAAGTAATATATAAGTCCTGATCAGCCCTCCAAATTTGAACCCGTGGCTTCTTCGCGGACGAATTAAGCAGAGCGGTGGTTACTTGGCGAACGCTTTTTTGAACTGTCCAGATATTTGAAAGTCGTCCATGCGATGGACCACACGTCGGTGGCCCACGATCGGTGAGGCACAAGTACTAGAGTGGAGACCTCGTACTGGACGTCGTAACGTAGGCAGACAGCCAGCGAGGTGGACCGATGACCTGGTCAAATTGGTTGGTAGGGGCTGGATGCGAAAGGCAAGAGACTCGCCAGTTGCCGGATATTGGCATGACTGTACCAGGCTCATCACAAGCCAGGAGAAATGGTGATTGCTCGTGAGGCAAATAACGTCTACCCACAGCAATAATAGTGACTTACGACAATGACCGCTCCGACATTTTATTTTATTTTGTTTTATTGTACAGTTGGTTCGACGAGCTCACGGCCCACCTAATGTTAAGTGGTTACCGGAATCCATAGACATCTACAACGTAAATGCCACTTTGAGATTATGAGTTGTCTCAGTTTTTACAGTACAATGGCTGCCCCATCGTTCAAACTGAAAGGCATTACTGCTTCACGGCAGAAATGGGCAGGGCGTTGGTACCTACCCATGCAGACTCGCCAGACGTCCTACCACCATTGAAGTGAAACCACAAAGAAAAGAGAACAAAATTAGAATACGAACATAAGTACCCCTTTCGCTGTTGCGAAGCTAATAAATACTAGACTAATTATTTTATTTTTAATATCTATTTAATGTAATAATAAAGCTATTTGTTTGTTTATTAATGTGTAAATATGTTTTGTTTTTTTTGTTAATATTATTTTATTTGAATATCTTGTAATAAGCGTTGATATTTGTCGATTAAGGACGTGTGCGAACATGTTTTTATATATACAGGGTGTCTCTCGTGTCTAAATTCATGTCTCAAGTTTGATGGCGGTATTAAAGTTGTAGATGTCTATGAGCACCGGCGATTACTTAGCATCGGATGGGGCGTGAGCTTTTCCACCAAGAAAACTGATATTTCAATGGGCTTTTTGGAAAAACCCGACAAGCCACTTTAATGGCCACTTTTCTTTCGATTCCCCCAACTTGTGCAGCTATAACACCAACAATATTACGCCTATAATCTTAAATAGATACTACATTGATAAGTCACAATTTCGCTCCGCACGTTCCCACCGATACCCCACTAAATACCTAAAAACAGACCAGGGATAGAATGATCGACCAAGGAAACCTAGATGAGTCGGTTAGATCTTGAATTGCGTCATCGGCATGTAACTTAGCACCGGGTGAGCCGTGAGCTCATACACCCATTTAAGCATTGTCTAGATTTTACAATCGTACGTGACGATCTCGAAATTGGAAACAAACAATTAATATTTATTAACTGACCTCTCTCTCTCTCACTCACTGTCTCCATGTCGCCCTTTCTCCCCCCCCCCTCTCTCTCTCTCCCTTTATCTCTGTCTCTCTCCCTTTCTTCCTCTCTCTCTCCATTTCTCCCTCTCTCTCTCCCTTTCTCCCTCTCTCTCTCCCTTTCTCCCTCTCTCTCTCCCTTTCTCCCTCTCTCTCTCCCTTTCTCCCTCTCTCTCTCCCTTTATCTCTCTCTCTCTCTCCCTTTCTTCCTCTCTCCCTCTCTCTCTCTATCTCTTTCCAGTTCTCCCTTTCTCTCTTTCTCCCTCTCTCTTTCATTTCACTCTGTCCCCGACATCGTCGTCCAGTAATATTTATTGCATTGACTCTTTTTTTTGAAGAATCAAACAATAAATCTTTCAATCTTGACTTGGATCCGATCTGGTCTTTAAAGAGAATTAGGTATAATAAGTAAATGATATCTAAAGGGCGGGCATAATATAGTGTGCCCTTAGTAATTTAAAATGGCTTACAAAACTAATGCAGTTTTTAATTAAATAATTTCAGTGAAAGTCATCGGCATGGCATCAGCTGGCATCATTTAGACAAGGCAACTGTACAAACAAAAACACGTGGAATTCTTCACAAATAAAAAGGGGTTGCAACCAAATAATTTTCTATTCATTCCGAAAAACTCAATGTTAGTTCATAACTTAAAATGAACATCGCTAGGAGTATAATATTTTCTGTTTATGTAAGTATCCTTTTTTTTGTATTAAAACGTTTTTCAAACGTCCGCAACCTAATGTTCTATTTTGATGTCTACAGTAAAAGTTTCTGTATTCGCGGGGTATATGATTCGTAAATATGCCGCGAATACAGAAACCGTGGATGTGGAATGGTAATATACATATAAGGGATACGTTCCTAGGTGACAAAATGTTGTAATAAGGTCTATTTCACTTTTTTGTTAGTCCATTTGACGACGCGCTTAAATACATATTGGAATCCTTTTTATCAATTTGTATGTACAGATTAAATCCGCGAATAGCGAAACGCGAAGGAAGGTAACACGAATAAGGAGCTTTTACTGTACTTTTAACAAGACACGCAACTATGATCAAATTCGGCGGACAGGCAAAATCTTCTAATCAACTTGAAATATAAATTAAACTTTTATTTCTTATGTGTGTTCTAGACATTTTTCTTGGTAAATCAATTTTAATTATTATTATTTTATTTGAAAGCTATTGCTTCTCGTGTGGTCCCATTAAAATTTCATAAATTTTCAACCAATATTTGTGCATATTTGAGTGACTTTGAATACATTGACGATATACTTATATCATTTTGTTGTTGCAATCAACCCAAGGAATCAAAAGATTGGGAAATAACTTTTTTTCTAATCTAATTTAAATTAGTTTCTTGAATCAATTCGTAGCCGTACCACAGTCACAAAAGGAGATAGGGCTACACCAGGCACCGCGCAACCAAGATACAGTATTTAGATTATGATTGATCACACAATACAATCGAGATGTAAAGCTAAAACCATAGTACAAGAAACAAAATATGTTTTGTAATTCAATGTGATTATGTATACACTTAAATTTTTTTTCCCTACGTATTCGCCGGTAGCCAGTGGGATATTGTAACTACGCCCAGACGGCAACCTCAGAAAATTTGCAAGCACTAGCCCTAGCAAGAGCAGTGCTTCGCAGAATCTACCACCGGATCGGAATCGCGACCCACTGAGATGTTCCGGAAGGAAATTCAGTGGGCTGGGTCTATAAATTTCCATTTTTGTCTCGCTAGGTCATCCTTCTAGTGGGTCTTTCTCCAACGAGCGGATGTAAGCTTCCAATGCACAAAACTAAATGGTTCTATCCGGGTGTCAAGGTAAGAACTCTATCTTTATTTATCTATTTATTAGTGAATACAAAAGAGATCAATACCATTTTCTCTGGGCCTACGCCAGTTGTAGACAAAATTAAAGCAACTTTTACGGTTTAATTACGCCTTCTTTTTGTTTTTGTTTTTTCTTTCATTAATTACATTAAGTACCTTCGACTATTCTGTGATGTGCAATATTAAAATGTCGACGAACAACAAACAGTATTTAGAGTCGTCCTCGACCGCCTAAACTCTAACTGTGTAACTTCTTCGATTTTTGCGACACAATTAAAACTAACATTAATCGCTAATCAAAAGCCTAGAATGAACTTATAGTGAATACGGAAAATCAAAGATGAAAATAATAACCAAACCTCAAGATAACATTGTTGCGTTTTGTGTGAAACGAAATGTTCAAGTCAAAGAATTTTAATAAAAACAAAATGAAGGGTAGTTCACTTATAATATAAAAAGTCGACAAATCGTTAATAAAATGAAAATAATAAACGCCAGATTAAACAGTAAGTGCAGTTTTAGTGTTGAAATAAAATAATCCAATACATAGCACAACAGCAACAGCTTTTTTTAAAGATCAAGACGCATGTTTAAACTAAGGCAGTAATACTATATGTACCTTCATAAAAAAAGTAAGGTGACGTATGAGGTAAGGTGGTATTCACGACGTACTATCAACATGAAGGAATGACATCATGTAAAAAAACATTCAAAATTATCTAATGTCTAATGGAGTTTGTATTTTTCAATTGTTTCACAGGGCAAAGGAATCCTGAGCTGTTTTGGTGAGAGCTTTGAAATTAATTTCGTACTAATCGCTGCTGTTTTGTTTATTACTATTATATTTATACTGGTGTTAAGACGTCTTGTGAATTAGCACGGATAGGTGACCGCCACCCAGCGAATATCTACCGCTAAGCCCTAATGCGTTCCAATTTGAAAGCGAACAATAACCAATCGTGCGTTCGTCTGTAGTGTTCATTCCGAACACTTAATTAATGTGAGCCGTTTTTGCGGCATTACCACCACGAATGAACTCATGTTTCTATCGTATCCATTTGATCGAAAAGATACAAATGTTAAGTGAAAGCAAAACCACTAATCAATAAACAAATGACTGAATATAAAAAAATTATTACATATTTTTAAAATATAATTAATTTGTTTTAAAAGTTTATTGTCGATCATATTATTATGTAAATTACTTAACAAATGGCCAGTATTGTAAAAACGGCAACTTCATCGATAAATCTATTGGTCACTACATTTTGTTGTGAGATTTTATCCTTCAAACTGTAATATTCCTTCAACTGTTTCTTTTTTTTTCAGATTATTTCGCAAATGGAATAAACAGTAAGTTATAAATTTCAATACACTAAAAAACATATTTTAATACATATAAATAAAATTAATTTCTAGTTTCCTATTATAAAGATGTTTAATTATGAATTGTTATTTCTCTTCCAGGAAAATGCGGTAATTCTTATAACATATTCACGGATATCGCGAAATTGAGTGAGTTTATTTTTGTACCCATCCATTGTTTCACACAAGCTCTTTGGAGATCAAATACAGGCGTGTACTTATAACAAAGCTATTAAAAGAACCATAGTAACCGACATAACCTGAAGGATAGCGAGGTTGAGATGCCAATGGGTAGAGCATGAGATTTCGGTGTAATGTCTCAAGATGACGACAGAATCTGAATTCTTTTTTTTTTCGCTTAGATGGGTAGACGAGCTCACAGCCCACCTGGTGTTAAGTGGTTACTAGAGCCCATAGACATCTACAACATTAATGCGCCACCCATCTTGAGATTTAAGTTCTAAGTCTAGTTCTAGTACCTACCCGCGCGGACTCACAAGAGGTCCTACCACCAGTAATAGAGTGGTCGTGGTGAAAATAATATCTGGAAATTAATTGAGCGTCCGCAAGGGCGGTGGAAGTGAGGTTCAACCTGGAAGGCGATTGCCAGAGGGCAATAACTTGAATTAATCCCCAGAACTCTTAATATTCATTGGTTTTTTCCTACTTATTTACTGGTAGCTTAAGAGGTTTTTCCAGCTACATGCGGACGGGTAGGTGAGTGCGCGGGCTCAACCTGAGAGACTTTTGATAACACTAACCCTAGCAAGAGCAGTCAGTGCTTCGCAGAATCTGACTCACAAGACATCCTACCACCAATTATTAATTTATTATAAATTTTATACGTGCGCGCGCTAAGATACGTCCGAACGTCCGTGCAGGTCAATACCCAATACTTATAATCAAACTGAGGAACTAGCAAGTATTCCGAAGCTCCACACTTTATACGCATTAATAGAGAGTTGATCTATCGACGGCTCGCACTCTTGATGATTAAATCATACAATTTCGAAAGGCGGTATTTTTGTGTCAATATAATTAATGATGACATTTCCTTACAGACGGTCGAGGCAACCACGATCAAGGAATAAAAGTCATAATCGACGGTGAGTTCTCAATCCGTAGGGTCCGAAGAAAATGCTATTTTGAGAGTTTTCAATACAGATACTAGATACGAGTCGCGGTTTCACCCAAGTTAAATATGACATTCGAAACTGTCCGTAGCTTTTCACGAAGGAGGCAAGAAGATCTGGGGGTACCACTAAAATTGATTTGGAGGCTAACGGCAAGAATCAGTCATAGACATCAGAAATATTGATAATGTGCTTTTACCCCCACGGGAGCAGTGCTGTCCGTCTGATCCAACGACAGTAACATACAAATACCTACGTGCCCTTATCCAACGCGGTCTCAGACAACACTTGAAGGGTAGTCTTGGATTTACTACATTATACAAAGCTACTGCACCTTCCCCCCACACACACCATAAGCAAGATTGCCATACCGTGGCATAAGTAAACATAGCATTGATACAATGCATACTAATGATGTCTCTTTTTTCAGTTTCCAAAGGGGGTGGACATATTTTAGATTATTGGATTTCGGGACGTGAGTATTTTGATTATATCATGATGACATTTTTATTATTATCAATACCGAATACGTGTACCATACATGTGTTATAGTGATCTTTCGTGTAGTAATCATTTAAAATTATATTATTTTACAACGAAACCGTTTCTACTTGTCGCTCATTTTTGTTTAATACAAACTTAAAGTGTTTAATTTCGTTTTTTACAGTGGGATCTACATTCGCAGATAGTAAGTTTTTTTTAAATGCTTCACGTTTTTAAAGTCGTACCTGACTTACCGATACAATCCATCACAATATCAGAGTAAGTCTAATCCGTGCTTAATAAATGTGAATTTACTACGATACTAACACTGAACTTTCAAATGATAATACAGGATTCTAACAAAAAAGAGAACTGGCTCCATCAAAATAAAACTAGAATATCATCAATGTAGCTGAAATTCAATTAAATATGCATTATTAAGGATAGCTCAAAAAGTAGTTGTCGGATCTTGTTCAAATTAGCCCGCATGCGAAGCACTATCTTTCAAATTAATAAAAAAGATCATCAAAAGCTAGAAAAAATACTCATAAAAAATTATAGTCGAATTATTGACCTGCTCCATTATTTTTATGACGGTTAAAAACAGTGTCGTCATCAGATATGTGAAAGAAATTTGCTTATGACACTTTCTTCGGTAAAATAAAATATTTTTATTCGACATCTACTCAGACAAGCACAGTACCGATTGGATAGTGACAACATTCTACAGGGGCTTCTTAAAATACTCAGTCTTTTTCTTATGCATTTACGAATAACATTGACGTTTCATTTCAGTGGTTATATCGGCGCACAGAATCGTCATATGCGCATTTGGAAGGAAACATAGAAGAAGTGAGATGCTTTTACTTTCATTTAAATAAAGATGATTTTAAAGATAATGACCATTGAGTAACACGAATGGTTTAAATTGAAAATCAGTGTACAAGAGAAGGTCTGAAAGTAGCTTCAGTGACAGAAAAAATATAGAGTAGATAGGTATCGTGGTTAGAGCGTGTAATGCGAAGAAAGGATGACCATGTGGGCCAAAAGTCTCTGGGTATGAATGTAGACGTTAATGCGATGTAGGGGTCAACCTGAAATGACGTGGATGGACTGTGTGATAGGGGATTTGCGAGAGAATGGCGTGAGTGTAAAGATGACGATAGACCTGAATAAAAAAACAAAATATGCTGCGCCAGCCCCACATAATAAATAAATAAATAAATTCGAAGTCGTCGTGGCCTAAAGGATAAGACGTCCGGTGCATTCGTATCGAGCGATGCACTGGTGTTCGAATCTAGCTGGCGGGTACCAATTTTTCTAATGAAATACGTACTCAACAAATGATCACGATTAACTTCCACGGTGAAGGAATAACATCGTGCAATAAAACTGAAACCCGCAAAATTATAATTTGCGTAATTACTGGTGGTAGGACCTCTTGTGAGTCCGCACGGGTAGGTATCACCGCCTCGCCTATTTCTGCCGTGAAGCAGTAATGCGTTTCGGTTTGAAGGGTGGGGCAGCCGTTGTGACTATACTGAGACCTTAGAACTATATCTCAAGGTGTGTGGCGCATTTACGTTGTAGATGTTTATGGGCTCCAGTAACCACTCAACACCAGGTGGGCTGTGAGCTCGTCCACACATCAAAGCAATAAAAAAAAATATATGGATAAGGGCAAGAAGAAATATAGACTTTTGCGAGGGATGAAATTTCCTTTCGCCGTAGGGTATGATGTCAAAGTGCTGACCTAAAAGCCCTACCTTCAAAACGTTGAACCAGAAATAAAGAGACTGTTGGTACAAAGACGTGTGCGCGCACTTTTTACTCCCAATCACTATTATTCCCATGACAGATAACAAACTTCGTGGACTATTTCTTATTTTTAAATATGGCAATTAGCTTCTTGCAACGCCATTGTGGCCAGTTTATAAAAATGAATTGGGCTCAAAATGAAATGAGGAGATGGGTTAAGATAAAGTCTCAATAAAATTGTGGTTATTTACTGAGACTTCATCGGATTTTTGGAAGAACCCGAAAAGCCACGTCCGGTTTTGCTTCATGTTCCCACATTTGTGCATTTTCACGAAAGCTAAAATTTTGATAAACCACCGTTATTACCAAATTTAAACCTTCAAAAACACTAAATTAACAAGGTAAAATCATTCACACGACTTCCCTCCTCGCGTTCACTCCAAAGAATTTTCGTGGACTAAAATTTAGCGCCAAAGAACAGGCAGATTGTAAATTCGCAAAGGTTTCTTTTTTGCAGACAAAGGAATCTGCCGGAGTGACTTCGGGAAGCATTACGGTTGGCGAAGCTATGATAATGGCTATGATGATATAGCTAATGTTATAAGCTATTATCGCCTCAATAATGCGCAAGCTGACATTGAGAATATTTTCAAGAAGCACACCAAAGGCAAAGGGATTAAAGCGTTGACAGGTGAGCTTTCGAATGACAAATGTCAGATTGTCAAATTTAAAACAAAACATTTTAATGGTGTCTTGTGAAACCGCAGCGTTAGACACTTTCCCCGAATCCTGATCACGCAAGAGTCAGTCACCGTCGACGTCCTAGACACGTCCTTATAGATCAATCAGATCAAATAACCTTTGCCTTAGACGCCTTCAGCTCTAACACTTGGAGCAGGCTTAGGGACCCCGGTAACCGTACCCGGTACCCGAACTCTACAAAGAGTTCGACGTGCGACCTAACCCATGCATCAGCTCGTTGAGTTTCTCTCGGGATCTTCTCAACGGGTCGCGATTCCGATCCGGTAATAGATTCAGGAGGACTCTATTCAGAGTAGATTCAGATACGGAGGCGCTCGGGCAGCTGTTAGCAAATCCCACCCTTCTTGGCTGAGCCTTTGCACGCCCACCTGTCCTGGTGGAACTGGAAAAGCCTCCGGGCCACCAGTTATCCTTCAATCCTAAAAAAGGGTAGACACTACCATCCTGTCCCATTTTTCTGCCGTATAGCAGTAATATTATTCAATTCGAATGCTCGGCGGCTGCCCCGCTAACGATTCGGTCTTGGGCTTCATTTGAGATGAACTCAGAAAGCAAATAAGTGGGTTATGGCCTCATTAAAAGTTAAGGTTTTGACCTTGTCTTAAGTTAGGCGATCGGACCTTGATGATGTTGCGAAGCCATTACCATTCTAATTTAATATAAAACATTCAAGGCAAGACCCCGAATTTCTTCTATGACGTGCGACAAAAGGAGATGTGTGATAACCAAACTGATTTTATTTTGATAGTAAATTTGATCTTAAAATTTCCTAAATATAAATGTTTCGACAAAGCAAAAGCATTGGTAATGTAGCTGTATTTTACTATCAGTAAGGAACTATAGAAAAGTATTCAATAACACTTTAAGTATATGTAAACTGTCCGTATCAGAACTTATGACACGACTCATTTTAGTATTAAAATTTCGATTCATCGAACCGTTTTTCGAACACCCCGTATATAGTGTATGTGGTATTTAATTCAACGTTTTTCATTCGCAGGGAGTCACCGGTTAATCGCTCAAGCAATATGGGATTTATCGAAACTATTCAGTCGTAAGTTCAACCTTGAATTAGGCGTGAGAATTTAATTAAGCACGCGGGTAAGGATCACCGTTCTGCTGTGTAATGGCATCATTCACTGTGGGCAAACTTGAAGGGTTTGGGGGCGTGCCTATATAATATTAACACTCGTTTACCGCGACACAATCAAATATGCAAGTGAACTTCAGGGTTTTCTATGTTATACTTATATGACACATTACACACACAAATACGGCGTATATAGAGTAGTAAGACAATTTTAATACGCTAATATATCACATCCATAAAAGATGGATCAGTAAAATTTTGGAAAGGCCCACTAGGTAAAAAGAACAGAGGCAGACCATTGACTCGTTGGGAAGATGAGATTATAAGGACAGCCGGTCCAAGCTGGAAAGAGATTGTACAGGACAGAGACAATCGGGCATCTTTGGAGGAGGAGGCCTTTACCCAATATGGGATTTCTACATAAAACTACCAAAATGTATTAAATTAGTTAAGTGATCATACTTGTTAATAACTGTTAAAATATTTAGTAGGAAATAAAATAGGCTTATTATTATTATTATGTCACATCGGGTCGTTATTGAACTTGTTCAACGAGATTAGAGTATAGACGGTGTATAGCATACAGTATAGGCGGGTAGAATGAAATAAAAGTTGCGAGAAGATTCTACTCTAGCACTAAGTCGATCGTAGCTGATCCAGGAGCTGTGTCGTGTGCCGAGTTGTGAACCCTAAACATCATGAACATTACTCTCTCGTCTGACTCCAGCGTTGAGACCACAATGAGTATGACAATAATGGCGGCCGCTTCGACATTTCACTTATATTTTTAATAAAATTATTTAATTCTGTTCAAAGTATCTGATCGGCTGATAGGCTAAGAATTTCCTCTCGGAACTTCTCCTGGATACGCCGACGCCACAGTTGACTTCAAACCAATTACTTGGAATCACTGCATCTACTATTCACCAACCGAGTGATCGTCGTGTGCCCCGTAGTATGTTGTGTATTAAACTTCGTGATTTCCGCATGTCTTCTTTCAAAAGGAGGTTAAGACTGTAGCTGGGCAGTGGAGAGCACCTACAGTCATATTTTCGCAACAAATACTATACGAGTTACTTTGCTGTTGCAGGTGCAAACAATGAGTGGTGCCATGATGACGTATATTACGTTTTCAAAAGAGGTAAGGTGCATTTTTTTTAATTATATGGACAAATTCACGACCCACCTGGTGTTAAGTGGTTACTGGAGCCCATAGACTCTACAAAGTAAATGCTGCCACCTTGAGACAAGAGTTGTAAGCTATCAGATGCAAGAGTACGACGGTTGTGCCACCTTTCAAACCGAAACGCACTACTGCTTCCCAGTAGAAATAGGCAGCGTGGTGTTACCTACCCGTGCGGGGTCACAAGAGGTCCTACGTATTCAAAATGGTGTTTTTTTGTCAATTGAAGCGAAATGCACCAGGCACTAGCTTGTATTTCATTAAAGTTGTGCGCTTATAGACTCCTCTAAACCGATATTACCGGACTGTTTTAGTTCCTGGGAAATCTTCAGATTTGTCTAACGGGTAACCGTTTCCGGTAGCAACCGGATCGAAGTCGAATTAAAGAATAACCGGCCGGATAAGCCGGTTTTAACTAGTTTTTTTTTTTTAATAAATCGAATTATTAGCTCGTGAAGCGCCATTGGAATATAAACGATGCTTTTTTGTTTTACTGATGACACATGTATGAAATGATCTCGTGACTAGAACCATAAAGTCGAAAGTGTCCGAACTTTTGTTTGTCAAAACTCAATCAAAATTACAGTAAAATAGTGAAACATTTGAAATCAAAACAAAAAAACAAAATAGTATTTTGTTTAGTAGCGATATTTTAACCCCTTACTTTGAAACTATAGACAATTTTAAATGAGTCGTCTATTATCAAAGGCGGCAATCTGACTTTTGGACAATGATTGGTAAATCAGAAAAACGAATTATTGACTTTGTATTCCATTGGCAGTCACAAAACTCTTCGGAACGACATCTTAGATAAATAACAGGTTAACTATTAACCTTTATTTAATGCAGGTTTTGAACCGTATTCTTTGAAGGAGACGATTATATTCAAATAAATCTGTATTGACATATCAATAAAAAATTTTTGTCCAAATGTACAGATTGCCGCCTTTGATAATAGACGACTCAAATTATAATCAAACTACACCCTCGCATTTTGGTTCAAAATTTTTTGTATTCTATCTCCCGCGCAAAGATATTGAAATCAAAACAAAGACTTAAAAAGAAGACGCATTAATACAAAACTGAATTAACAATTAATTTCATTTTGTATTTGATCTGTTGATATCCAATCAGGATATTAAAGTGAAGTTATGAAATTATTGTATAGACATCGGTCCTTGATGGGTGTGAAAATTTGAAAGTTAATCAGACGACTTCAAGTTAAAAAAAATTAAGTTTAACGATTACGTCATAGAGAAAAAGACATACCAAAACAATCGAAGCGTCTATCTATAAATAATGTCACGAATTCACTTCAACACTTCACTTCACACAAAATCAAATCACAAAACTTTATTAAGTAATTTAATAAAACAATCCTTGTTATTTTTCGTTTCAGTCTTAACTGTATTAGGAGCTCTGGCAAATGGTTATAGAACTGGACGTAAGTATAATTTTATTGCTGTAAATTTACGGATTACTTAGTAAATAACGAAAATTGTAATCAGCTCGACCCTAGTAACTACGACTCCCGCCAAAAGTTACTTACTTTTAAAAAGGAATTTTATGACCTGGTAACTAAGACTTTTAGGTCATGTCTTATTTTAATTTATATATTCTTATTTTTATGAAAAATGATAGTATGGAGTGAAATGAAATTACCTAAAGGAAGATGATTAATTTGAGACATTAATCAACTGGGACGAAATTAAATGAAATGAGATAAGATGATATGGGATAAAATATAATCTCAGCAAAATGGTGGTCATTTATTGGGGTTTTTTTCAGTGGACTTTTTGGAGGATCCCGAGAAGTCACGTCCAGCGGCTTGTTTCATTTTCCCACATTTGTGCACTTTCACAGATACTAAACAGCTAATTAACCACCGTTATTACACATTTAAACCTGAAGAAACACTAAATAGACAAATTATAACAAATCACACAACTTCACTCCTCACGTTCCCGCCAAAAAGTGCCCAAAATTTTTCATTTTCACATCACCATAGATAATGCCCTTTCTTTAACTTCTTCTTTTTTCAGTATTGCTTGGCTTTTTGCGATGCCATTGCTGCCAGTTTTGTTTTTTCATTCTTTATTAGAGCCGTAGGTACACCTATTAGGTTAAGTCGGCTACTGCCAGTGTTCAGTTGATAAAAATCTATATCGGAATACCTACACGTTCTATTAGGTATATAAAAAAATATATGATGCGAATTCGATATATTTTTGAGACTAATCAATTGGTATAAAATGAAATGAAATAAGATGAGATTATATGAATTAAAGTCTCAGTAAAACGGTTGTTGAACATTGTGAATTCCGTGGACTTTTTGGAAGAATCTGAGAGGCCACGTTGAGGAGTTTTATTTCATATTCCCACTTGTGCACATTCGTTAGTTAGTATCTGTAACTGGTTAATAAGCCGTTTAAACTTAAATGAAACAAAACCTATTGTCGATTCAATGTTTTTTTTTTTTTACAGTTGGAAACGATGTTGTTGATGGTAAGAAAAATATTATATTTATTTCTCTACTGAAGTAGTATTTTAATTAATTATCGATTTATCTTGAATCAATGCTATCGATACACTCGGTCAGAAACGAACGTAAAAAAAAAGAAAAGACATTTCATTCAAATTTGCGTTCTTTTGTTTTTTAATCTAAAATAAAACAAGGGCTTACACACTTTCAGGGCTGATCGAGTATTGCGGGGAAGCCGTCAAACAATACGGGCAAAAGGGTAAGTGATTTATTGATGTGATTTTCTTTGAATCAATCAAGTGGCATTTTCCTTGCGTCGATAATCGTCAATGCTGAGAGTCGTCGCTTTTCTGAATAACTGTTCTGGACTATGTTGTGCCAGCTCCATCCTTAGCCCCGTTGATGGCGTCATGGAAACAAAACAAAGGAAACTACCACGCAGGCACTTCATAACTTTGCGCGCATGACGTTAACAACTACAGAGCGTGTAATACATAAATATTCAGAAATTAACATCTCGCGAATATTAAATGGCTTCGTAATATCGTTTTAATTATCTATCAACTGCCAGTAATGTCCTGAGGTTATGTGTTGGCTTCATAGAACGTGTCCGGTGTCGCTTCACGAAGCTCAGACCGAGATAGTTTCCTAATACTGACCCTAGCAAGAACAGTGCTTCGCTGAATATACGATCGGATTGAAACCGCGACATAATTAACACTGCTTATATGTTTTAAACTCACATTTAATACTGTCATCATAATATTGGTTCTGATGTTTCGAAGTATCGTGCCCTGAATGAAAATACTCGATTTTTCTTATGGCGTTCAACGTGTTAACAGCTGCTGTGGTTGCGAACGAGAGAGCTATTATATCTAAATATGAATAAGACCGGCCATTTTTTAGTTTGTTATGAATATAAAAAACAAAACTGTGGTTAGAGGTAGTTGAATTAACAGATTTTCATGTTATATATACAGTACATAACTGAACGGGCTCGTTTCCACGACTTTCACATTTAATCAGTACCCGTTAGTGCGACGTGTTGCTAGCGCTACGGTCGCAGGCAGACTACGGGTAGGATATTAAGCGCAGGCAAATCTAACTACCCTCTTTCTGGTCCTTTTTCGGATGTTAGCACTGGAGGAAACTCGCTGACTCGTCAGCATTAAATAATTGCACAAGCATTTCTGTTTCAGATCTATCCCACTGTGGTTCAGATATAAAAGTGAAGCTGGAGGACTGCAACAGAACCGATTTTAACGGTGCCATTAGCAGCGGTCAGGACGACGATAGCGGTGACGATAGTAACGATAATGCTAATGATGATAACGGAAATAACGACGAATATAACAGGGACGAAAATAGCAGTGGCAGCACTAAGAGAAAAAGTAGTAGCAGTGACGAAAATAGCAGTGGCAGTAATAAAAATAGCAGTGCCAACACTAATAAAAAAAGCAGTAGCAGTGACGAAAACAGCAGTGGCAGCACTAAGAGAAAAAGTAGTAGCAGTGACGAAAATAGCAGTAGCAGTGACGAAAATAGCAGTAGCAGTGACGACAATAGCAGTGGCAGTAATGAAAATAGCAGTGGCAACACTAATAAAAGAAGCAGTAGCAGTGACAAAAATAGTAGTAGCAATAATGAAAATAGCAGTGGCAATAGTAGCAAAAAAAGCAATAGCAGTAGCGAAAATAGCAGTAACCACAGTAGCAAAAAAAGCAATAGCAATGACGAAAATAGCAGTAGTAGTAACGAAAATAGCAGTGGCAACACTAGCCGAACGAGCAGCAGTAGCGCGAAGAAACATAGAAAACATAGCAGTGAAAATAATGATAGCAATACGGACACCAATAATAACACGAACAATAATGATTCAAATCAATCAAATCGATCAAGTAACTCCAACAATAATCGAAATAATCAAGAGACTAATATCGTTATCAACAATAATTATGTTGTTTATAATAAAGAAGAGGTCAACGAAGTTTCGGAAGCAGATAACGCCTCGACTGATACAACTGAAAAAACGGGCGATTAAACAATTCTCAGGCGCAACGTTTATTTTAAGTTTCAAAATTTTTTTTTTAGCTCACTCTCAGAATATGTACGTACGTTCACGTCATGAAGTATTCGGAACTATACAAAACGCAAAAAATATAGATTTTTAATCTATCGTTAGTCTAGGCCAGGGGTCGGCAACCTGCAGCTCGCGAACCTCTTTGGATATGAAACTGCGGCTCTTTAGGTCCTTAAGCAAATATTATTTATTTTATAAAAAAAAAACATTTAAAAATTATTCTGAATAACGAGGGTTGGGCACCATTTTTATCTCTCAGCCCATTGTTGTAAGTAAATGTTTAATTGTTTTCATTGTCTACATAACTAATAAGTGATTATCTAATAATACCATATATAATCTAATTTGTTGTAAAAAGAATACTACTTGTTTATGAATAAATAGATATTTTTTATGAATAATTAGATTCGTTTTTTTTTATATCAATAACATGATTTATGCAAATATGTACTATTTATTGTTGCCAAGAATTTTTTTGTGACTTAATAAATCATAAAAAGCACGCAAGAGGCTTAATTTAAATCGAACGCTCGAAGCTATAAGAAAGATTATCTCTTTAGCAATTATGTAGTTAAAACTGGCCATTGTATCTTTTCAAAGGTGGATCGGTAATATTTATCCCAGAACACTGTGCTTTCCAACCGGATACTGATTTTGAATATCATTCAATTCTCCCGATCCTATACAAAGTCCTAGAAACATTCTCATCTTTAATTTGATGTGATAATTTTTTTTTTTATGACTTCTCACTGATCGTTCCGCTCTTTCCTTCCACTTTGCCGGTGACGACTGAAGACTTATCCATAGTAATGCATATTTAATTGACGGCTACGTTGATGATGTTCTCTTTTCATTTTAATTTTAGTTTGTTGAAGTCGGGTTTGATATTTTGTTAGGATAGCGTTAGATTCTCATTGTTTTTTGGGGAACCGTGAAGAGTTAATTGGTCTTGATATTAAAATATTTATTTGATTAGCGTCGTTATCAATTTTGATACACGTATGAACAGAATTAGATAGATATTATAATTGTGGTGCTAAAACCTGTGAAAGTATAGTGATTTGAAACAAACTCACTAGACGTGGCTTCTCGAATTCTTCCAAAAAGTTTACTGAAATCTAATTAAGTTATTTTTAAAAGTATCGCAAAACATCATGATTTGTCATTATCCAATTTTATATTGATTCAGTTTAATACATTCTTTTCTATTTCGATTTTCAATTCGCAATAGTTATGTGATCCAAACACTGAAGTAGGAAACCTATGGAAATGAAACGTCAACCAAAAATTCGTGCCACTGTGACGTCATCTGACCACAAAACATGGCGGTTTTAGTGCTGTACAAAAGATTTCAATGTTAGTAGGTTTTATCGATAAACGTTCTTGGCTCATTTTATTTTAAATATTGTTGAGTATTATTTATTTGTAAAATTTATACTTTAATGGGAAGTAAGTAGGTATATTGTTATGTGCAAATATAATATGATTGAGATGTGTGAAATCTAAGACAAGTTCGCCCTTCGAATTTGCCAAGTAAACGATATTATGATTTTTAAAAGTTGTTACACTGATTTTATAAAGTTGTCGTTTGTCGCAAAACATAAAGATATGGCGTAGTACAGTGCCATCTGCCCATTTCTAGCACGCTAAATGTTATCGTATTTTGAGTACGTGTTTTTCTTAGACTATTACAATCTATTTTAATTGTTTTGCTGACTCTAAAGTCCGTAACACACTACCGCAGCATACCCCAAGGAAGGTGCGCCGCACCATTTGAATCACTTTCACTTGAGAGTGATTCAAATTTTAAACTTATCAAGGGTCCACGTGGAAAAAAAACACCTACAGAACATTTATTCATTATTGAAAACGTTATTCCTTGTGACTTCCTCTCTAAAATCACTTAATTATTAAATATTTAACGAATTTACAAGTGTTTTACTCACTGCGGAATAAAACTATTTTATTTAAATAGTTCCGAAGAGATTTTGTCGGGGTAGCCTTTTTCCCGAAATATCTAAACAGAATGTCTAAATATGTTTTGATGACATATTTTAATTGAGGGCTCCATAATGAATTTAAATATATAGATATAGATAATAGTTTTGGGGCATCGACTTTCTTGAGATCCTATAAAATACGTTTTAATTATTATTTTTGTATGTTTTAAGCATGATAAAATATGAAATTTTATATAAGCAGTCATATTAAATCGATATCAAAGTCAATAAATAATGTACAACCCAAAACAGATGGCCGAACTGACGTGACAATGACATTTGGTGCGCTCAACATGGCGGATTTTCGGCCTCATTAGACGGAGACGGAGATATTTACGTATATTCATGTTACATTTTATGTACGCACTGAAATACTGTTATATTGTTTTCCTGCGAGTTAAAGTGCTGAGTAAGAACGAGATAGATATATGTTTATGTGTGTGCCTTCAAAATGGGTGCTATTTATATAAGCAATTGTACGTATAGAAGAATATGTCGTGTCCCTACTATATAGGTCTATGGATCCAAATGATGGAACTGTATGGGAATAACATCACGGACCCTGTTTTAGAAAAAAAAACTGTCAAATGTGTCATAAATTTTGAGCTTTTTCCAATGAAGTAGGAATATAGGTCTATGGCTTTTTCTGGGCCAGTGCAGGCAGGCCAGTGTCATTTATTGTCTATGCTTATTGGTTTGTGCTTCTCACTCATGGACTTTTTGGCGGGAACGCGAGGAGTGAAGTTGTGTGATTTGTTCATTCCATATCATCTCATTTCATTTAATTTCATCCCAGTTGATTAATGTCTCAAATTAATCATCTTCATTTCATTTCATTTATCTCCATATTATCATTTTTATAAAAATAAGAATATAAATTAAAATAGGACATGACTTAAAGGTCTTAGTTACCAGGTCATAAAATCCCTTTAAAAAATAATAATCTTCTCACTCATTTCGCCCTGAAACTTAGGTCTATGGTGCTTGTTAGTGCCTTTGCGGGGTTAGGTTGTTATTATGAGTTATGTTTTTCCTTTACAATTCAAGTACGATAGAAACTACACCAACTCATGAACAATCTGGATAATAAATAAGGCTTTAAAAAAACAATCATGTTCCGTACTCATTCGGATCTTGTGCGAACGCCACCTGTGCAAAAGGCGAGCTGCGATTCCGAAGTTTTCAAATGCGATCTGTGTAAAGCTTGCTGGCTATCCGAAACAGAAGCTGACTTGCACAGAAAGATCGCACATTTCCCTGAATTGATTTCAAAATCGAAATGCGAGACGAATCATATGTGCTTGGTGAGTTTGTGTATCCAAGAATTCACATAAAAAATATTCCTTCGACAAAGTCAAGTCATGAAACCGTTTATATAAATGTAATCAGCTGTGAGTGATATTAAAATTTTAATAAAAATTCATAGTAGCTAATTGAACTTAATAGTTCTCATCTCATCTCAATGAGATCATAGTCCACCCAGTGTTAGATAGGTTTATTTATCAACAACGTCATTGCAGCAACCTACCTTGAGATATGCTCGCTGAGTTTTTGAGTACAACACCTGCTCCTTCCTACAAACTGGAAATCATTGCTGTGTGGGTTCAACATTTACCACCAGTAAGAAGCAGAGCTTAGTCACGCAAAAGGTGTAGTTTTCTAAAATATTTTAGTCAAAATTCTATTATTAACTTTCAGATATGCATGCGACCTCAAGAAAGTAAGGACAGTCTGTTGAAACACACGAAAACTGATCATCTATTATCCTCACCGACTGCAAGGAAAGTCGAGCGCGAAATATTTGTATGCGACCATTGTAACGGAGTATTCTTCAACAAATTCATGTTGACTGCTCATTTCTATTTCAAACACATTAAAGATCAAACTAGAGGCATACAATGTGTAATATGCAACCGATATATGCATTACAAGAACACATGGTTCCATTTGAATAATGTGCACATGGTGAACACGAAAACGGCATGCCAAATATGTTTAAACCAATTTCAGACGACAGCAAAATTGAACGAGCACTTAAAGTCACATAAGCCGTACCTGAACTGCACTATATGCGGATACACGGCAAGCAGGGACTCATATTTCACAGAACACCTAGAGAAACATAGGAAATCAAATGTTACATCAGTTAAGAATCACAAGCAGTACTTCACTAGAATGAAGAAATATCATAACTACAGTCTCTATAGCGGTATCAAGGGATTATTTTTATACAATGTTCATATATGCTTGCTGTGTCGTGAGATATGTTCTAGCGATGATGAAATGAAATTGCATATATGCACCGAGCATATGCAAACAAATGTGGTGAAAAAGAAACCCGTTTGTGCGTGCGGAAAGGATTTCTTCAATAATGTTCTATTAAAACATCATGTGTTTAAGTTAAAAGGGATGCATCGGGCTTTAAGTAAGTATCTACATCAGGATACTAGTTCAGGGTATTCTGAACCGTGAATAATGATCGCTACTAGGCAGCTGGACCCCCACTGCTCCTGTGGGAATGTGTTGGGAAACAAATTGTTTACATACATATACTGTAGTGAAGATACACAATATATTATACATGTTATATAACCAATAGACAGTGAAAAAAATAACTGAAATTCTTTACTTTATAAAAAGGTAATAAAACACACAAAAATAATGCCACTAAGAATTACCTAATTGTCATCACAAAATTTCATAAAGGTCGTTTTCAAATTTGGGGGCAAAAGCGAGTTATTTGATTAAATTCTCATAACCTTAATGTTACTGCAATTATAAGTACAGTATATTTGTTGTCATGACAACAGGCATATGGTCCTATAACTATATATTCATAATCACTGTTAAATGAAGAATTATACATTCAAAACTACCCCAAATTCAATTTAATTTAATCAGTATATAATACAACTAGCGACCCGCCCTCGCTTCGCTTCGGAAACATTAAAACACACATGAAACAAACAAAAAAAAGTAGCCTATGTTCATCAGGGACAATGTCGGCTTCTAATGGAAAAAGAATTTTTCAAATCGGTCCAGTAGTTTCGGAGCCTATTCGAAACAAACTAACAAACAAATATTTCCTCTTTATAATATTAAGTATAGATAATAATGGAAAACTAACTGGATATTAGAACATTATTAAAAACAAAAGAAGTAAGATTTCTAAATATTTTAAAAAGTTCCTACTTAAAATGTTATCCGTGTTGGCATTATCAAATGCGTAAATTGAAAAATATACATGAATATTATATAATATTATCAATAAATGAGTGATTGACTTGATTGTGATCAAGCACTTTTTATTCTGAACATGCCTAAATACAAAAAAAAATGATAAAGTTTAAATTCATGAAATCATTACTTATTTGGCTGCAAAATTGAAAACGACCCATAGTCGCAATTCTATTTTCATAAAAAACTTAATATAGCCACTAATTTAGTTTAAGGTTCATCGCTTGGTGATTGGATCTATTACTTGGATCCTACCACTTCCTTTTTGTCAAAATTATACAAATGAGGGGACAAGCCCATAGACAACAGCAATGTAAATACAGGCATGACAGAAATGGACAGAGTGGTAATATCGAACAATGTGGACTCACAAAATGCCTTACCACCAATAAAATTGATTGGATTAGATTCTTTCTCACAATCTGTTTTGGTTATTTGGTATTTAGAGCGTGTACCTGATCTAATTCTGGTATGTGTTACCAATATCCATAAAAAAACTGGATTGTTGAATGTGAATCCATTGTTATCATAAACTTGTTGTATGCTCTGTGCTTTTTTAAAATTTTTATTTCTACAGATGACAATGAGGTCCCCGAGGCACAGATTAGTGACAATGAGAATTCCGAGGTAGATATTAGTGATAAAGAGATTCCCGAGACACAGATTAGTGATATTGAGAATACTTATATACAGATTAAAGATGACAAAGAAATAAATACAAATATAGAAATGGAAGGAAATCTCACTAAAGAATGTCGTAAGTAATATAAATACATACAACTCGACCAAGCTAAGTTTGCACCTGGCTGGAATGCGGCGCCCGCCCGCTTCCCCGCTCACCTTCCCGCGATCGCCCTGTCGCGTCAGTACCGTTAGCATCATTGTCGCCGACACGCTGTTAAATTTTAAATTTTTTTAACTGTTCTTGTTAGGTTTTTTTGTTGAAGTTTAGTTATATTATTGGGTTACTTTTGTTAAGTTTTTGTTAAACTGTTGTTACTGACCGCTTAACGTTCATTTTTTTACTTCGAGAGGATTGTTGTGGGCAACAAAAATGAAAGAAAAGGTCATACACGGTGAAGGGAGAAACATAATACTGAAAAGGAAACATAAAAGAAAATTATTACTGATAAATTTGGATACAAATTTAAAAAGTGCAAGAACGCCCGGGTGGTCTTAGTACAAAAACCCAATATCGCTATATTCTCATGTATTCTAATGTATAATATATTGTTAAAAACAATAAATGCAAAGTAAAATCTAAAAAACATTTGCTTACATTTTTAAAGTCATAGCGAATCCTTTTTTCAGACCGTACCTAAGCGACAGTGTGACGTAATCGATGCGAGGTGCAAACTTAGCTTGGTCGAGTTGTATATGCATATATTTATATATATCGGCGCAATATTACTTACTAGTTACTTAACTAACATTAGCTAAAGTTAATTGTTTCCTTAATGATAACATTGTCGGTTATGCATTAGAAGTTCAATGAATGCAAACAATTGCTTAAGTTGTTATTCAAGAGAATTCATGAAGAAACTACCCCTGATTTTCTACTATATAAATATGAGTGACTAAATATTCAACACACAGCCCACTGAGCTTTTCGCTGGACCTTTGCAGTGGGTCGAGATTACAATCCGGTGGTAGATTCTGAGAAGCACTGCTCTTGTTGGGGCTAGTGTTAGCAACTTCACCGGGTTAGAACCCCGTGAGCTCATCTATTCGCTCGGTGAATCTAGTATCACCCCTCGAGGTCACTAGAATAGGTAGGAAAAAAATATATGCATAAAATATTCCGGCTCAAGCAGCGGAATGAAGTGGTGCTCTGTTGTTATTGTTGTCCAAATACAACGCTGATGTCATCCTTTTTAAAAACAACACGGTGCCAATCCCATCGTCATCTATACATCTAAATAAAATTGGAGTGTCTGTTTGTAATATTGAAATAGCTTCTTTTTACTACATGCATATGAATATAATATATATACGGTACATACACCAAAATAACATTTTTTTACAATTTTTGTCTGTTTGTCTGTATGCCTGGCTGTCTGTTTGTTCCGGCTAATCTCTGGAACGGCTGGACCGGTTTTGACGGGACTTTTACTGATAGGTAACTAATGATATAAGGAGTACCTTAGGCTACTTTTTTTAGGCTAGCTTCGCCCCGCGGCTTCACCCGCGGTACGACAATAACCGCGGGTAGCATCGCGGGACTCTGCTATCAATAATAAAATTTAATGTTTCCGAAGCGAAGCGAGGGCGGGTCGCTAGTATTTAAATAAAAACTAATTTTAATTAAACGACTAATTAATGTTCTTTTTTTTTTGCAGAAGAATATCTTTCTATTCAAAATTCAGAAGTCATAGGTAAGATAAATTTATTGTTATAATATAGTTTTAGAAAATTGGCTTTATGATTGGGAATGTTCAATTGTATCACGGGGTGAAAAGCTATTTCATTATACACATTTAAAAATATAAAAACCGCTCAGTTCTCATTGGATTGTATTAAGTTATAATCTTAATTGTACAAAAATACTTGTAAAAATACTGTAAAAAAATACTTGTTCCTATTCGGGTTGAAGTCACTTCAACGCGAAAACGTCAAATAACGCGTTATACGAGAATACTATTATAACGCGGAACTTACACTCCCTCCATGTTATACTTACTATTATTTTTTATATGTGTCCAATAAATGATGCATGCATCTTTGTGGCTAGGAATGTATTACATATTATTATATCGATTTTTTTTGTTATTATCTCGATATGTACTGTAACAAATGAAATAGACATATATTTTTTATTAATTAATTAAATTATTTATTTATCTTTCCAGATGTGTACGCAGTACAAGAGGAATATGAAATAGAATAGTACAAGTTGTAAGTCCTGGATTTGCTCCGGGACTGTTTCATACATAATATATGGATATGTATATGGAAAATATTTCAAAAACAGCGCCACCTCTCGGTGATATATTATGTAATATAAAAAATTGCAACCATTAAAAATATTAATTTTATTAAGTTAATTATGTACTCGCTCCGTGCTATTAGTGAATTTATATATAAAAAAATGTTTTATGAATTTTGTTTCATTTCGTATTTAGTTTAATAAAAAAATTAAAAGGTGAAGGAAGCATGAATCTTTGACAACTGTGTTGAACGGGAGCTACATAGTAGGCGTAGTGGGAGTGTCAGGTTATTTTCGTAACGGAATTTCTTGATTCAGTCGCCGCGCTCAAAACCCGCGATAAAAGCTACGCAATAGCTTAATAAAATGAAACTTAAACTTAAAATTCTTCTCTTTATGTTGGGTAACATTTTCTTAAAGTTATTTTGAGTCCATTAACTTGATAATACTTCAGTCAGGATCAAATGTGCGACATCAACTGTCGTAGCCCCTCTTTTCCATGCATGATTGCAGCAACATTATTATTATTAAATCTATTTCGATCTTGATTTTTAATTCTATTAATATCAGAAATTATTCTTTCTACTTTGGCGTTTGACAAAGGTAGTATCGTCATTAGCTTCACAAATCGGGACAAATTGCCATACCTTGGCTTGCTATTCGCATCACAGATTTGGCTGCCTGCACTCCAAAATTTATCCACCATAAAAGTTTCGACGTCGAACTAGAAGTTGATAATAAATTAGACAGGGAAACATCTAATTCTGATTCCCTATATTCTTTGTCAACAATTTCTGTCATTGCTGTGGGCAGACGTTATTTGTCTCACGAGCAATCACAATTTCTCCCGGCTTGTGATGAGCCTGGTACTGGCGACTGGCGACTTTCACGCGCGGTCTCTTGTCCTTCGCATCCAGTCCGTAACAGGCAATTTGACCAGGTCATCGGTCCACCTCGCTGGCTGTTTGCCCACGTTACGACGTCCAGTACGAGGTCTCCACTCCAGTACTTTTGCGCCCCACCGATCGTGGAACATGTGGTTCATCGCGTGGGCGACTTTCAAATATCTGGACAGTTCAAGAAAGCGTTCGCCACCGCTCTGCCTAACTCGACCGCGAAGAAGCCACGGCTTCAAATTTGGAGGGCGGATCAGGAGTCGTACATTACAAAATACTTATCCCTCTCATAATGTGGGTGGAGGCATTTATGTTATCATATAGTATCGTATTAGTAGTTATCGTATAGGCATATATATATTATGTTATCGATGCCGATGGTCTCCGGTAAACGCATAAGACCAGCCGGCCGTCAGTGTGACCGGCTTTCTTAAGCTTAACTAATATTTTTAAAAGAAAATTAACCTTAATCCTTTGGGTAGTCAATAGTACAATACTTTTTCCCTACCTAATCCTTGGTAGCTGAATCTCCTCAGTGAGTCGCGATTATGATTCGGTGGTAGATTCAGCGTAACACTGCTCTCGCTAGGGTCAGTGTTAGCAAATCTTCACAGGTCGAGCCCCGTAAACTCACTTACGCGTCCGTGCGTAACTGAAAAATCCTGTAAGGCACCAGCGAATAGGCGGGGATATAAATAGAAGATGTCAGCATCTGAGATGTTCGCATCGTTTAACCTCCACGACCTACGGAAAAGTGCATCGGAAGTCTAATTTAGGTAGGATCTCTTGGGAGTCCGCACGGGTAGGTACTACCACCCCGCCTATTTCCGCCGTGAAGCAGTAATGCGTTTCGGTTCGAAGGGTGGGGCAGCCGTTGTAACTATACTGAGACCTTAGAACTTATATCTCGAGGTGGGTGGCGCATTTACGTTGTAGATGTCTATGGGCTCCAGTAACCACTTAACACCAGGTGGGCTGTGAGCTCGTCCACACATATAAGCAATAAAAAAATCATAAAAAATATTATCGATAATTTAATGTTAAAAAAATACGCATCAAAATCGAACAGCGCGTTAATTCGTCTACATCTTCAAGGTGATTGAATATTAATGACTGCGCTGAAAAAGAACACAGATGCCTGACTAATTAGCGTCAGATACATAATAATTATATTTGTATAAACGCGAACTGAACAACATGTAACTAAAATAAGTATTACCGAAGGCCCCAAGTATTTCAATGTTTGCTAATTTATGTTGGTATTTTATTATTGACATGATGTAATAAAAATAAATTTCGAAAATAATTTTATTCGCTGTAATTGCTACACTTTTGTGATGATATAACATCTCAAGTCTCGAGGGGGCTGTAGTATTTACATTATTGAAGTCAAGCCTTGGTAACTTAACAACAAGTGGACTGTGAGCTCGTTCACTGGTCTAAGCAATAAAATGCAATAAAGGAGAGCGGATTAGTTTTGTACACGGTCAGTGAAGCAGCCAACGAAGAGGGTGGGATACAAGTATGTTCTTCTTCTTCTGAGTCGGTCTCTTCATTGCTAAAGGTCGTGTCTAGTTTGAAATATTGACCACTTGATGCACTATACTTCCTCACATCTCCTGTCCTCGGCGTCATTTACAGCCTCGGTTATTGGCAGGCCGGTGAGCGTTTTTACCAGATCAGTATGCTTAGTGCGAGTTTTGTACCATTCTTGACAGCATAAAAGTTAACTCAAATTTGTATGCAGTTGGAACAGCGCCCTTAGCGCAAACGTAGGCAAACGTTCTAACTCCATACAAATATGAGTTACCTTTTACGCTATCGAGAACATTAAAAAACTCTAGCAGCGGGTGGGTGAGTGTCCTCGTGATCTTCTCCCGTCAACCTGACCAACTATCAGCTTCTAACCAACTATCAGCTTCTAACTTAATTATTTCAAGGCTAACAACAAATATTCAAAGAAAAACCAATCAGCTATGAAAAGAACGTGAATTTTACGACAATATGTTTTAATTACAAAAACAAAATCTAGAAATAACTAACAACAGTCTTGATCTATCTTCTTTATTTTAGCTACACGGTCCAATGCGTATGTATCAAGCAGGGGCGGGTGCTGGAGTTGCTGCAATGGTAGTTTCGGCGGCTGTTGATGGCGTGTTGGCTGCCGGCGTCGGAGTCTCTGGAGTCGCAGCTGTTGTTCCGCCGTCAGCTGGGGTGATCGCTTCGTTAGCTGGTTGAGCACCACCGTCTGCAGAGCCGGCTGCCTCATTAGCTGGTTTAGCTGCACCATCAACCGGCGTTAGTGGTCCCGCTGCACTGTCAGTGCTGTTGCTGGCATCAGTAGTATTAGCTGACGTGTTGATCTGAGTGATAACGGTGGTGACATTCGAAGGCTGGAGAGCTGTGTTCGCATCTCCGTCGTTCTGAGACGTTTGACCATTAATTATTGGTCTAACGAAAACCAGCGTTTGCTTTTGACCATCGGTCTTTTCTGAAATCGTGATGTTGATCTCTGTAATTTTAAAAGAAACTTAGATTAGATCGGGAATTGTGAATGTTCATCTAATTAAGGGTTTTTGGGGGTGAGAAGTTTGTTAAGCTATAAAGCCATGATATTTTCTTGTATATAAATAGAGAGAAAATAGATTTTGTGGACGAAGTTTCGCACTAACATCTTGTTACTTCAAGAACTCGGCATCAGCATCGATCAGTTCCAGTTTTCTACGGTACAATAAGAGCTTTATTTAGGTACGATTCACAACGAGATAAAAAGTCCATAGAAAGCTTCGTCCTTCAGGGAAGTTTTGACGGCACAAACAATGCGACAGGTCTCCCACCTGGTGAACCGACCAAATAAAGACTACAGCGGGAGGTTCTTAAAATTAGTTCAGCAGAATTACACCGGAGGGAGGAAGAGTTGGTGGGCTATAGTGAAACCAATGAAATTATACCCCCGCAATACTAAATTACCATCATGACCACTTCGTGAAGAGTGAAACGAAGAAGAAGCTTGTTGTAGTCATTATAACATAATTTTCATTTAAGCAGACGTATCGGATAGTAAAAATAATATGGTCTTTCTTAAATTCTTGTCCAGTTGGTTCGAGGAAGTTACCGATACAAAACGTCTTTAGTCGCCCTAAGTGGCCGAATAATGCCGGCTATATTATTGCGAGGAAATCCACTAGCTACCACTACTGGTGGTCACTGACTGATTCGGTGATGCAGTTAGCGCCCCTGACTGTTGCGCCCAGGGTCGTGGCTTTGATTCTCACGTCGGACAAATTAGTGAATTGAGAAAATTGTTTGCTCTTTGTATGGGCATTTATTTCAACGTATATAAGTATCTTAGTCTCTGATACCCATAACATCTTAAATTGGGGCGGAAAGACTATGCGTGATTTGTTCCCAAGTATTATTATTATTATTATTACTCTTAGTGCTAGCGTGTATTTTGAGAAGCGGGCAGATGCTGTTGTCAAACCAATTATTGCTTTAAGCCCACAATGCGTTCTGGTTTGAAGGCAGGTTCAAACGGGAAATACGACTGAATTTCTGTCTCAAGGAGTCTAAAAGAGCAACTTTACAACATTATTGGGAATATCTATGAAATGCGGTAACAATTTAACAGGATTAAGACTATGACCATGACCAAGCCCGTACAGTCATCTAAGAAAAATAGATAAACAGGAACTTACCTATAGTTCCACATTGCGCACACGTACACAGCGCAATCTGCGAAATGTAGTTATTAACTTTTACAATAATTCGACTTACATACGAGTCAAGAAGAACAACATTCTTCCCGTACCTATTCCCTGGTAGCCTAAGGGGCTATTCCAGCTAGGCGGTTCAAGATTTCAAAGCGTATAAGTAAGCTGAATGCGATATTTTAGTACGCAAATTAAAAAAAGAACTCACCAAAAACAAAACGATGCTTTCATGATACATTGTGCGAATTTCCGTAATCCAATGACGGATTGCTTATAAATTTTACCAAATTTATACTTTGACATTTTAATTTAAGATAAATATGTGAACAATTGTTATGGACTTTTCGTTTGTTTTAACAAGTGTTAATCGCATTCGTGGCAGACGCGGGGACCTTTATTTCAGAGTAGCAGGGACCGGATTTAAGGGAAGCGGGGGGTTTCGAAAATAATGCGAAAGGAAAGACCCGCGAAGGAATATAATAGATCTGATATTATAATATAATAGAGAAAAAAAAGAAGAAGAAAAACCTTTAACAAAGAATTAGTCTAGCTATTCAAAGGGAGAACGCTGCTAGTATCTTCGGAACCTTGCCTAAAGAGACTCCTTTTAATAATATATTTTAGTTATTAAATATTTTTTTTTATTATTTCATATTATTAATATTATTTCAAAAATTATATGAAATTAGGTTGCTCAAACATCTCTAAGTAGAAGCTATGGCTTCTAATAGAGAATTGCATTTTTAATATTTGTATAAATAAGACGAAATGTATCGTGGGACGACCCTGGCTAAATGGTGCGGTGACCTTCGATGGGTGGCCGGGAAGAGTTGGATGCGGAGAAACGAAGAACGGGCGGTGTGTGTCGATTGGAAGAGGCCAGTAAAGGACGACTGGGGGCTGATAATAATGATGAAATGGACTTCGGTTCCCTCTGTATTTTGTACCGAATGTTCCATGGGGAGTGCTCTGAGGAATTGTTCGAGATGATACCGGCATCTCGTTTTTACCATCGCACCGCCCGCCACCGGAGTAGAGTTCATCCATACTACCTGGAGCCACTGCGGTCATCGACAGTGCGTTTCCAGAGGTCTTTTCTGCCACGTACCATCCGGCTATAGAATGAGCTCCCCTCCACGGTGTTTCCCGAGCGCTATGACATGTCCTTCTTTAAAAGAGGCTTGTGGAGAGTATTAAGCGATAGGCAGCGGCTTGGCTCTGCCCCTGGCATTGCTGAAGTCCATGGGCGACGGTAACCACTCACCATCAGGTGGGCCGTATGCTCGTCTGCCTACAAGGGCAATAAAAAAAAAAAAAAAAATATTATTTNAGCTCCCCTCCACGGTGTTTCCCGAGCGCTATGACATGTCCTTCTTTAAAAGAGGCTTGTGGAGAGTATTAAGCGATAGGCAGCGGCTTGGCTCTGCCCCTGGCATTGCTGAAGTCCATGGGCGACGGTAACCACTCACCATCAGGTGGGCCGTATGCTCGTCTGCCTACAAGGGCAATAAAAAAAAAAAAAAAAAAAAGATAAGACGAATGCTTATGCAGATTTTAGCAAGTCTGCAAGGCTGAATCCCGTGAGCTCGCCTCCACGTGCGATGAAGCTAGCATAGCTCTTTGAGGTTACTAGTAATAGGTAAGACAAAAGAAGAAATTAATAATAATAAATAAATTAAAGAAAATTACTGACATTTCAACGCCAAAGACGAAGCTTCTCTATGGGGTTTGTGGTTGGCTGACAGAAATTGTCACGTAACGAAAAAGCGTTACGCCCGACCCCTTACTTAACCATAAACAAATATTAGGATTTTATAAGGACTAATCTCTCACACTAGTGTTATCTCGTATTTCAAAATCTCCAATTGTGTTTGTGGTTTCTCTCAATATATGTTAATTTCCGTAGAATAATAATAATAAATAATATATAGATAATAGGGAACAAATCACGCACGGTCACCCGAATTAGATTTTTTGTATTATGGATACCAGAGACTGACTTGCATACTTTTAAACAGTTAAATATATAAATGTAGGATTGAGAACGGAACGTATGAAAAGAGTATGGAACGGAGCGTTAAGATGTGAGTGAGAGAAAACGGAAAGAAAGGGAAAAGTGAATGACAGACAGAAGGACAGAGAGAAAAAAATCGGTTATCTGTTAAGTCGGTTTACTGACGATAGTTGAACGTGACAACGTCATAAGAAAATACTGATGGAATGGTTTCATTTTTCAATTATCGCAATTATCTTGCTATAAACAATTGGCACCACATTCACTTTTCACTGAACTTCATACTTGACGAAAACATGTAAATGTATTATTGTATAGCAGCTGTCCACGCGAATGTATCGCTCACTTAAGTAGGAGAGAGACAAATGTCGAACGCTGCCGAACGCGGAGGCCGATTGTGCCTCTTTGTCGCTCGTTACGCGCTCTCGCTTGCACTTCAAGCCTTAAATGGAACGCCTCAATGAGTCATGTCTTTTCGTGCGTGCAGCTGGCTCCATCGAATTATAAGACGTTGTCACATCAAAAGGAAGAAGGCGAAGACGGTTAAAAAATAAGCAAGGCGTAATAAAAGTGTTTATTAATTTTTAATTATTATTATAACAGAAGGTTTCGGTACAGCAGAAGTTTTATTTTATGCGCTGCGATCCTTATTCTACATAAATAATGATCCAAACGAAGAACAAACAAACCTGTTCATCACACGAATATTTGCCCGATGTGGGAATCGAACCCACGACCCTCGGCGCAACAATCAGGGGCTATAAGTACTGCACTACCGACCTACTTTAAAATAAAATAAAAACACCACACAACAAAGGCATCGTTTGGAAAATACCGAATAATATGACCCCCATCCGATTTGGACCTAAATAGGACCCTGTCTTGCTCTAGTTTGCATTGGAAAAACAAATAGAGAATTTTAACACACGGCAAGTATTAGTCATGATTAATTTTCAGTTTTACGAAGTAAAAACGAGAAATGAAACATGTCTCTTTCTTCTCTATTCGTCGACAGGTTTTTCTTTTCTTACGTATAGCCACAGCCAACGAACTCAATAGGGAAATAAAATGAATGTTGGTCCTCTGTGCAGTATTTTCGTTCCCAACCATTGAGTTGATTTACTAACATCTTAAATAGACATTTTCTACTAACAACAATTTCTATGCATCAAATCTCTATGTGTATGTACGTGAAGCAAAAACTTGTAAAATTTTAAGGAAAATTACACTACGACAACGCTACTTCGACAAAGCGGCGCGACACGAAAACCCTCCTATCATGGCCACCGTTAAATTACTTATCCGACACATGTCTTGTGGATCCGGGGGGGATCCACTCTCGGTGCTTTTAGACCTCTGAAGCACCGGTCACCTCCTAACTCATTATATATTTAATTTTTTTACATTCTCTTTGACGAAATTTGCAGCACGCATTCTGAGAATGTTATGTCAAACGCCATTAGGTAACATGAAAGATTTAATATGATGGTTAATTATACTTAAATCTTAAAATTTTTCAAATTGGGGATTGATTTTTATGTACGAGTATATAAATAGATTTTTATTGTCGAACATATAAGGAGCGACATGAACGCTTCGACGAACATAATGACTATATTAAGTGTATAATCTATGATAATGACGTTAGCATCGAATCGATAGCGCTGAATGTCTTTTGGGCCATAAAAAAAACTATATATGAAATTTATCTACCTATAAAATCTAAATATTTTAAAATGCAAACATTGAGTGATCGCCGCGATATGTTAGGCTTATGTTTTTTACATCAAGTTATGAGCGGTACTGTCGACTCCCAATTCATCCTCAATAAATTCTCTTTGAAGGTGCCATCTAGGTTACCTCGTCGCCCCATTGCTCTTTTCAGCACCCGCTTTAGCAGAACCAATCTAGGCAAGCACTCACCTACTCCTCGTCTAACTAACCTTTATAATAATCTTGTTAGTAAAGTTGAAAACCTTGACATATTTGGCGATTCCCTTCCAATATTTAAGAACAAAATTATAAAAAGTTGTTGTTGAACCTCAGCCTCAGCCTCGGTCTGAGTACTCGGGTATTACTGTCCTTATTGTCTTTCTTTTGTTTTTAATTTTTTATTATTATTAATAGTATTGTTAAATCTCTATTAATATATTAATGTAATGCATGCTGTGATTGCCTCTAATTAGAGTTGCAGTTATCAATTGCTCTATACATGTCAATGTTATTTTATGTCTTACTGTAAACCCTGTCGGTAATCCTTAAATAAATAAATAAATAAATAAATTATATATTTAAAATTTATATATCTAATTTATATCTAATATACCTAGTCAGGTCATAAGTATTGTCACACAGTAAAAACTTTTCTTTTAGAATGCTGGCCACAAAAAAGTTTATTGAATTCGAATTTCGAATTGTTCATGAAAATAAAAATGTATATGTACTTTTAGAATTTTACTCATTTTTAAATATGGAGTGGACGCTTAAAGAAGACCGTGTTGCAGTTATTGCGTTGCATCGTTGCGGTTACGCGCCAATTCAAATTTTTAACATACTGAAAAATTTGGATATAACCAAAAGATTCGTTTATCGTACCATGAAACGATACAATGAAGACTCTAGTGTAGATGACAGGTCAAGAAGTGGTCGCCCTCGGTCTGTTAGGACTCCAGCAGTGATAAAAACTGTGAAGGCGCGAATTCAAAGAAATCCCAAACGTAAGCAGAAACTGTTGGCCCTTCAGATGGGGTTAAGCAGAACCACGGTGAAAAGGGTGTTAAATGAAGACTTAGGGCTTCGGGCATATCGAAGAAAAACAGGACATCGTTTGAATGCTCGTCTAATGGACCTGAGACTGAAGAGATGCCGCGCTTTGTTGAAGCGGTACGCGGGAAAAAAATATCGGGAAATTCTTTTTTCGGATGAAAAATTTTTTACCGTAGAAGAGAGCTACAACAAACAAAATGATAAGGTGTACGCACACAGTA